AAAATTGGGGGCAAGAGGGGTAACTTTCCCATGGCAAGGCAACTAGTAAATGGCAGAGAGAGGACTTGAACCCTGGTCAGCACGGTCAAATACCAGAGCCCTTACAACTACACTCTACTTCCTCTAATGTTTTCAATACCAGAATATCCTTTCCAACAGTCTTCATAAACATGTGAGATACATTATAGTATGAATGTCTTCTGTGGAGGCAAGTCTAACTGGATATCCAGACACTCATTTTGATATTGTCATAAAGTGTCATAAGATATATAGTTATTTCGTTGTGAGATAAACATATTTTTAAGAATTTTATCTCTATTAAAGTAATGCATGTGCATGACAACAAATCAAACAGGGCACAAAAGACTATGATAAAAACAAATATTCCCCTGCCTTGACCCTCCCCTTCTCCATCCCACTCCCTCAAAACAAACATTTAATAATTTTTAGTTTTAGTTCTGCTGGTTGTTTCCTTCACAACTCTTGATAATATGTATATACTCTGTTTCTTGGTTCATAAAATTTAGACAATATCCTATTGACTCCCCATTATGGCAATGAGGATTTTGTTCATGTACACCACCTCACTTTTCCCTTCATTCCCCTGCTGTGTCTAACATTGATATTTCTTTTTCTTTTGTTCTTGGTTAATTTTGTATCTTGAAAAAATATACTTAAACCTTCCTTCTTTATTCCTTCTCTTTTTGACAGATAACTTCAACTGCTCACATTTTAGGGCAAGGATATCAGGGCCACTGCCTTCCCCTTGCCCATTCAATGATCTGCATTGTCAGTTTCATCTTTCATGTACACTGTTATTAACATTTACAACAAGATCTTTTCTGCTTTGTCCTCAGGTTGACTCTAAAACCTAAAAACTAATAAACAGCATTTACATTATATTTTTCAAAACCCAGTCAAGTCGTGAGCCAGGAATACACTTCCTTTTCTTCAAGTCCAACATCACAGTCTTTGGGCCTCTCAAAGGAGAATGTTTCCACCATCAAGGTCAAAGGGAATCTCAATTATAGTCCATTAGCTGTTTGTAACCCTGTTATATTTTATTTTGCTTTATACTTGGACCATTATTTTCTTGAACAGTTATAGACGGTGAGGGGAGTAAGTTTCTAACAGTTTTTCTTTTTTTTAATTATTTACCTGTATTGTATTCATTCATTTAACAAACATTTATTGAGTGTTTACCATGGGACAAGCACTGTTCTAGAAGCTGAGGTTGCAGCAGTGAAGAATACAGACATCCTTGCTCCCATGGAACTGATAGTCTAGTGATGGAGAATATATATATATGTGTGTATATATATATATAAAATTATATTTATGTATTTAATTTAATGTCTGCTCTGAGCAAAATATCGGTCAGCGATATGTAGAAATATGCAATTGGAAAAGTATGTCGACATTGTGTTTAAACATTGTAATGGAGATCCACAATTAAAGGAAATTCACTGTCACAGGTCTGTCTGAAGCTACTATGCCCAAAGAAAGTAGAAATAATTATGGGGATAATTAA